TTCTTTTTGCTAAAGAATGCACTGGCTATTCTGGGTCTTTTCATAGTCTTTGTAGTTCTGTGAAGAATGCCATTAGCATTTTGATGGGTTTTGTATTAAATCTGTAGTCATTACTGACGAATATGAATATTTTTACACTATTCTTCCAATCCTCAAGTAGGAGTATTTTTCAGCTTTCTGACTCTTTCACTTTCTTTCACTGTATTTTGTAATATTTATTGTAGAGGTACTTCACTTCCTTGGTTCAGTTTATTTCTCTACAGAAAAAAATTTCTAGCCACTCTGAATGGAAATGTATGATTTCTCAGCAAATTCACTGACCTATAAAAAGGCACTGATTGTCATATGTTCATTTTATATCCTGCTACTCTGTTTTTCTTAGTTCTCATAGTGTCTTGATGTAGTTTGTTGGCTTCTGTACATACAATTTGAGTTCTCGTTTTGCCTTTTAGTTTTTTTGCCCAGCTGCTCTCTAAAACTTCTGATACTATACTGGATATAAGTATTAACAGCAAGCACTCTGGGGCTAAGGACGTAGCTTAGCAGTGCTCTGCCTATTGCAAAACTACAACAAAGTCCTCAGTTTGATTCCCAGACCCGACCCTGCCAAAAAGAAAAGAAAAAAAAAAGGTGTGTGTGGGGGGTGCATTTGTCTTGTTCTTGATCTTAGAATATTTTCAGCTTTTTGCCATGACAGTATGATGCTGGCTATAGGCTTGCCATATAATGCCTTTATTATGCTACGATTTGTGCATCTATAAGTTTATGATGAATTTTATTAAATGATTTTCCTATATCTTTTGAGTTGATTAGGACTTATATCCTTCATTTTATTGAAATAATGTATTACCTTTGATATGCTTGTTGGACCATCTTTGCTTGAGATAAAACCCATTTGATAATTGTGCATTATCTTCTCTCATTTGCTAGTAGTGTATGGAGAATTCCTGGATTTATTTAGTACAGGGCCTACAGGGTCTCACTACATGGATTGGACTCATAGTGATCCTATTTTTCAGCCTCCCAAGAGGTTAGGATTACAGGCACGCGCCACCATGCCCAGTCTCATTCCCAGTCTCAGCGCGCCCTGGGGTGGGGGGGAGGGCCAGCAGAGTAGGCTGGAGATTGAACCCCCAGCCCGTGCGTCTGCTAAGCAGGTACTTTAGTCCTCTACATTATTTGGTCAGCCCTTCCTGGATTTATGTTGATGGATTTTGGTCTGTAGGATATTTATTTATTCCTGTTGTATGTTCGTAAGACTTTTGTATTGGGCATTTCTGTTCTACTGGAATGAAGATAGAAGTCCTCTATCCATCCCTTTCAATTCTGTAGAATCACTTCAGAATAATTATTTCTTCTAAATTAACTAAAATTCATTCCTGAGCCATTCTTTATTGGGAGACTTTGTATTACTGATTCAGTGTCAATTTTGTTAGTTTGCAGTGTTTTTAAAAATAGCTTCCCAGTTCAATTCTGGAAAGTCATGTTTCCATAAATTTGTCCATTTTTTTCTAGGTTCTATTAATATAGTTTTCTATAATAATCCCCATGACACTTTGTATTGATTCTAATATCTTGTCACCTGTGATTTTATTTCTTGGTTTAGATCTAGAACATCCCACGAAAGTCTCATGTATTCAGAAGCAGGGCTTGTGGAAGGTCACTGGGTGATCGGAGCATATAGTGAACGTGTGTTTAGGAAGTGGAACCTGGGCCACAGTGTGGCAGGATGTATTCTTCTCCAACCTCTCTTCTCACCTGCTTCCTGGCCACTGAGGGCTGAGTATCCTTTTCCTTCAGCAACCCCTGTAACATGTTTCTGCCTTGAAATCTTCTAAACCTTGGACTGAAACCGTGAGCCAAAATAAGCCTCCTCTAAGTTGTGGGCACAGGCATTGTGTCATGGTAACAGGAAAGTGAGTCAACAGTCTAGATAAAGCTTGCCTTTTTACCTTCTCAAGGTAAATATAACTCTGTGGTATTGATCTTGCCTATTTTTTCCACTCTTAGTCATGTTATTTTCCTTCTACTAATTTTGGACTTGATTGCTCCTGCTTTTCTAGGTTCTTGAGATACATAAAACTTTATCTAAAAATCTGTTTTTTATATTATTTATTGCCCCTTGGCATTAGCAGTGCCAGTAGTTGTGAGCAGGCTGAAGCACTGACTAGTCAGTGGTGGAAGTCCACACACTGTATAGAGAGATGACAGGAGGAACCTTGACATTCCTCTCTGCCACTTCTTTACTACTGCTCACTCATGAGTAGCACCATGCCCCCCCCCCCAACCCCAGCAAAAGTACACCCCAGCACACCAGCTAGGTCATGTACTCTTAAAAAAAGAGCTAGAACCATATAGTTACTAGAAGGCCTCCTAAGCTTGCCTTGATGGGCAAGGCCATTTGGATCCATGGTATTCCTTTCTTGCCTGATAGGTTACCTGAGTGCAGGGAGTAGCAGGAAGCACATTAGTGCCTGCTTTCAGTCCTGCTCAGAGTTCATGCCTGGCTGGCCACACCATTTGTCTCAAAGGGCAAACACCCTGATCTCCTGATTCATGAGTATGACCCCCATTTGTTCTCCTGCATGGCAGCACATATCTACAGCAGTGCTGGTGAACCTATGGGATGCATGCTATAGCACCATTGAAAGTTGGAAAATGTTCATCCACAGTAACTTACATGTAGAGCCCCAGTGGGCTTCAGTCAGTTACACTCTGCTGAAGCACTTTTATTTTTCTTGTTTTGGTCATTTTTTGGTGGAGGGTACCACACGATTAGACATTCTTCTTGATGATGTAAACAATTTTTAAAGGGAAAAAAAAGGTTCAGACCCAGAGAAGAACTCTAGGAGTGTAAGAGTGAGACTGGCCCCCAGGGAAGCAGGGGCAGCCACAAGATTCTACAGTGGCTGCTGTTTTGGCATCACTACATGTAGAAAGCCACATCCAGGCCAGCTGTAGCTTTTATTTTTTTTTTTAATGTATTTTAGTACAAGGCCTACAGGGTCTCACTACATAGAATGTACTCATAGTGATCCTCTTGTTTTCAGCCTCCCAAGTGCTGAGATTACAGTAGCACACTACCACATCCAGTTTCAAGTGCTGTCTCAGGACACCGTTGGGTGGGGGGGAGGAGTAGGTCCAGCATGGCTTGTGGTATAGGGCATTGAACCCCGGTCTCTGTGCTCTGCCTAAGCAGGCATGTTAGTCTGCTGAGTTATCTGGCTGACCCTCCAGGTCTAGCTTTGATATCCCTAAATTGCATAGGGAAAACTACATATAAATAGGAGGGCATGTTGAAGAAATACTTTTTCCAGAAAGACAAAAAATAAAGTTCCTTCATCCCTCTTTTTATACACAGGAAACTTTGGCCCTACTTCCACAAAGACCAGATTTTGCAAATCGCATTTTGTAGAAGAATGGTGTTTACTGGTTGGAGGAGGAAAAGGAGAAGGAGATTATTAAAGAGCAGTACTTCTCAGTATCTTGCATAATGGGCAGCTTGTTCCATCTGGGTCAGGCTCCTCCTCACCTATGTTCGGTGCTCTGCACAATTCTGAGGCCCGGGTATGATACCCTCACTTTACAGATGAGGAAAGTGAGGCACAGCATTCACAAGGCACATGTGGCTGAATATGTTACGTGTTCACAGCAGGACAGTGGTTTGTGCTGTTTCCCAGCTTATTTGGCTGCGGCGTCCTTCAAGTACAGACCACTTAAGGATTCTGAGTCCTTGGAGCCTATCTAGGGAACCACTGCTCTATAGGCTGAGGACAGAAGCACTACATTTTCCCTGATGAGACTGTAGGCTCCTGGATTGCAATGAAGGTCCTTGCACATAGCTCTTTACTGCCTGACTCAATTTAAGCTTTCCTAATTGAGTTTTTTAAAAAATCATGAGAGGGAATTACAGGCTTGGTTTCACCAAAATCACTATATTAAGACTATTACCTTTTAATTTTGATAGGCAACAGTATAACAGACAATGAGAAAAAATCATTTTCCTAAAATGGTGTGCTACTGTCACAAATATCTTAGATGACCAATTTAGAAAGAGAAAAGATAGCTCATGGCTTACCACTTGGGAGGTTTCAGACCAATTAGCTGCCTCATTGCTTTGGGCCTGTGGTGAAGCAGCACATCATGAAGGAGAACGAGAAGCAGCAGTCTGTGACCTTCAAACCCCATTCCCCAGATTCTCATGCCCTCCCAGGGGCCTCACCTGGGAAAGCCTCTGCCACCTCTCAATAGTAGCAGGGGCTGGGGGAGAGGCAAACATTCAACACATGGGTCCATGGGGATAGTTAAGATCCAAACTATAGCACAGGATTGGCATTAACTAAAGAAAAATTTGTAGGCTATTGTTTTTCAGATTTGATACTGTATTCCTGGTAAATGGAAAAGCCACCAATAATTCTACATTGTGGTGTATATGATACCAAACTGGGAGTCATTCAGGGAAGATGAGATAGAGGGACAACTCACCAGTAGAGGCTTTTGTGCTCTCCAAGTCAGACTACACTACAGTGGCTGAGGACCCCCAGCCCTACCCCACAGCTCAGCAGAGGGACTGGCTCCCTCATTCATGGCTACGATGGCACCATGCTGGCCAGTGAGGGATTCTGGTGGGCTTTTCTCTCTTCTAAGCACTCGCTGTGCATAGACCTGAAGCAAGCCCTTCCCTGCTTGGGAAGGCCCACACCAACATGAACCAGATACACATGTATTCCAGCCTCAGTGAATACAGTGTCCTAGTCACTGTTTGTCCATTGTTCTGTCCCTGTTGCATCGGATTTATTCACTGCTTCATAGTTTTAATCACACAAGTCTCACAAACAGGTAATGGAAACTACCTTCTCTATCACCTCCCAGCTTGGTGCATTTCCCATCAGGATTTCAGCATGTTGCTTTCCAGGTTCACATCATTTAGGACACACTTAGAATACAGGGCAGAATGGAAGTGAGAGCCTCATGCTGTGTCCCATGTCTGTGTGTTGCAGCTGGTGAGTGACTTGCTGGAGTTTTGCTTCTATACCTTCCGAGAGTCCCAGGCCCTAAAAGTGGAGTTCCCTGCGATGCTGGTGGAGATCATCAGCGATCAGCTGCCAAAGGTGGAATCCGGCAATGCCAAGGCCCTTTACTTTCACAGGAAGTGATGGAAGATGTTTTACCAGAAGAACTTTGCCTTAAGTTTCCCTGTGTTACTCCACACCCACAACAAGACTCAAGAAATGATGGTTGATTCATATATGTCGGCAGTCTCTCGAGCTTAAAATCATGTCAAGGGTTTGGAGCTGGGAAAGCCATTTGACATGGAGTTGGCAAGATCTGAGCAGTATAACGGACTCTTCCCTCTCCAGTACCCAGCGCTCAGAAACATGTTCCTCTGGATGAAAAGCCATATCTAGTTAATAACTCTGATTTTGATATTTTAACAGATGGAAGTTTTAACTATGCCATGTAGTTTCCAGTATCGTTTGCTTGTTTTAAAAGGGTTCAAGGACTAATGAACTTTTTAAAGCTTACCTGTGGTTTGCACATAAAACGTATAGTCAATATGGGGCATTAATATTCTTTTGTTATTTAAAAAAACACAAAAAGAAAAAATATATACAGATTCCTGTTGTGTAATAACAGAATACATGGCTTGGAATAGCAGCCCTCTCTGGTATACACACTTGTTAGCATCCATTTATTATTTAATTAGAATGGATAAGATGTTAAAACAAATGCCTTGGTTTCAATTTCTAGTACCTATTGTGTTGGCTTTACAAACAATTTTTTGCAGTCTTTTGCTGTGCTGTACATTACTGTATGTATAAATCGTGAAGGACCTGAAATAAGGTGTAAGGAACTTTTGTAAATGAGACACATACAAAAAAATTTAATGGTTAATAGGATGAATGGGAAAGTATTTTTGAAAGAATTCTATTTTACTGGAGACTATTTAAGTACTATCTTTGTCTAAACAAGGTAAAAATTTTCTTTTGTAAAGTGAAATGTTCTGCATGCATAATGAACCGTTTACAGTGTATTTAAGAAAAAGGGAAAGCTGTGCCTTTTTTAGCTTCGTATCTAATTTACCATTTTACAGTCTATGTTGTAAATAACCACACGAAAACCTCCTTGGTTGTCTTTAAGCCTTTCTACTTTTTCTGTACTTTGTTTTGTTCTTGGTCTCCCGCTTGGGGTGTTTGTGAGACTTGAGCACTTTTTTCCAGCTTCTGCTTCATTCTACTTCCATAAGGGGATGACACACTGGGTGTCAGGGTGTCGGCAGCTCCTCGCAGGTGTCACTGGACAGCACCTATGGGACAGAAAGTCCTGGGGGTGCTCAGCTCTTGGAAAGCTGCCTCTTTCCCCTATTCCACAAGAAGCAGAATTAGCTCTTGGAGGAGGAGGCTGGAAACTCCGCTCAGAGAGCACAATTCTCCATCCTTTTCAAAAAATCTGATTTCTCCTGTGGGGTGGGGGAATTCCATGCACTGTCTACATCTGTCAGAGATCAGATAGTCATTACTGCTGCTGGAAAGCACTTGGCACTCTTGGAACTGGTCGTCAGAACACGTAGATCGTGGCAGGAAGTACTGGGACAATCCATCTTGGTAAAAGGTCTATCAAAATGGCGTGGAGACTGGAAGATTAGAGGGTTTTTAGATTTTTTAAAGGTAGGTTTTAAAAATAAATTTTATACATAAACAGTTTTGGAGAAAAAAATCTGTATTACTACAGATCATATAAGTAAGACAGTGGCACTAAAATTTTTAATTCATTAATCTGTCTGGCACTGATGCAATTTATGGCTTTTCTCTTGCCCTAAATCACAAATATAGATATAATATATGTAATATATATATATATATATATCTTTGGAGAAACTAACAATATGATTGCACTAAACTACTTTGAATAGAGGCCAAATTAATCTTTTAAAAGTAGTGATGGTAGCCATCACTTGCTCAGTGAAATCACATTTTCCAAAAGCTAAAAGCTGTTGCTCAGGCCGAGGCTGGGAGGAGTGCTCAGATCAGCACTTCTTCAGGGTTCACCGTGCAGGCAACATTACCTACCTTGTCTTTTAAAAGACACCTGCCTTATGCAAGGGAAACCTGGGAAAGCGACACTTGGAGGATTTTTCCTTACACAAGTTGCAACTTTATGAATTTAATTTGTAGACAGATCTTTACACTTGGTCAACTCACATGCACAGCAACATGAAGACCACACTCTCAAGGTGGTAAATGCACAGCATGCAGCTGGGAGTTTCTTAAAAAAGAAATTGTTATAAAAGCAGCTTTCAGTTCAGACAACTTAAAAAATCGGGATTTCAACTTTTTTTTAGGTGTTGGATGAGACGGTCTGCATCAGCTTTTTGTATTAACAAAGTTACTGGTGACTTGTGTCTCCACGTAACTTTGCTTGATTAAATAGCAAAGCCATATTCTAAATTCACTGTTGAATGCCTGTCCCAGTCCAAATTGTTTGTCTGCTCTTATTTTTGTACCATATTGCTCTTAAAAATCTTGGTTTGGTACAATTCATAATTCACCAAAACTTCATATAATTAAACACTAAATTAGTTTAAAATGAAGCAATTTATATCTTTATGCAAAAACATGTCTGTCTTTGCAAAGGACTGTAAGCAGATTACAATAAATCCTTTACTTTAATCACCTGTTGTTTTTGGAAATGATTTATTTGAGTGTCTTTAGGTTCAGATAGACTTTGTGCCATTCCAAATTCTGGTTATATGTGGTCTGTCTACAGTCAAGGTGGGACAACAGCAGTTCTGCCCCTTGCTCCAAAGAGCTTTTGTGAGTGACAGGATTACTCTCTTTGGGAGCTAATAAGACATCCTGTCCGTTATATTGGGTTCACTAACATACCCTATAACTAGTTAATAATAGTGCCCACTGTCATGTAGTTACCTAAACCCTATACATGCATTGCTTCATGTATCTTCACAACCACAGCAAAACTAAGCCTGCTGACTTCTGAGACCTACCTAAGTGGACCAGTAGTGTCCTACCTGTTCCAAAGTCCTGCCCCGTGTCTATCACCCACATTTCCTTGGGTGAAGGAAGCTAATTCCTCATAGCCCTGATGTTCCCTAGATTCCACTCATTTACAAGGACCACAGAAAGCAAAAAACAATTACCAGCCCTATTTCAAAATAGAAAACACTTATTTCCCACAAGATGAATTCAGGTTGGTTTGTAATGCATCATTTAAATGCTGATAACGTTGTGACTACCTGGTTTCAAAGAAAGAAAAAACTGATAAATTTGACTGCTTTAATATAGTAATCTTAAACATGGTACAGCCATTGAACACAGCACAAGAAAACAGTTGTATGCATAGCATTTTTCATAAGACATCAATCAATGTAGAGAATTTTATATTTCTTAATTTAAGAAATGTAACCTTTTAAGGAACATGGCATTTCATAGATAGCCGCTAACTTGAAACAAAAGCCATCTCGGGCAATAAGCCTTCAAAGCAGCCCCTGCCAGTATGCTAAAGTCTTTTTGTATCAAGTAGGCCTGTTCTTGGGTCACGAATGCCTTTATTTCACTTAAAGAATTTTTAAAAGGAGTCTCAGGGCTGAAGACTTCAGCTACACATTTAGGAATCATTAACCAAGAGCTGGCTCTATCACTGTGTTGGAAGCCATGCCCAGCCTTGCATAGAAACTGTTGAACAGCCCACAAGCAAATAAAAAATTGTCTTTTTATGTAGAAGTTAAATTTTTGATAAATATATCCACTTTTTGATAAATACTTCTGATAAATACAACCACTATATACACAGATTTAAATGATTTGATTTCTAGTACCTCTGGCACTTGCATTTCAAGTCATTCAGATTCTAGTGCAGCATCTTCATGGAAATGAAATAGTGGATTCCCAAACAACTGGGTAAGAGGATTCAGACCCCATTTCCATATCCAGCATGGGCCAAGATTGTCCAAAGCAGAACAAAACATGGAGCAAAACAATACACAGTTAGCAACTTATGCACAATTACCACCTTATAATTTAGTAATCAATCAACCAGCATTTGTCATTTCTTATACATTTGTAAATTGGTCTGGGGAGTTTTGATGGGGGCCAGGCTCAGCCAAGTTGGGCTTGTTTGTGCACATGTGGTCAGCCTCTCAGCCTCTCCTAGTTTTACCTGAACTCATGTAGTCTTGGTTCTCCAGCAGGCTAACCTAGCAGAGACAGGACTCTAAAAAAGAAGGTGAAAAGCTGTGCCACTTCCCAAGTCTTTGGTTGTATCAGGTTTGTTGCTGTTTCCCTGCCCAAAGCAAGTTACAAGGTCAAGCCCACAGTCAACAAGGGAGAGGCTCTTTACACAAAACATGGAACCAGAGAAGAATCAAAGATTGGGATCATTCAATCAGTCTGCCACTAGCACTTACTCAAATACTCTTACATATTCTCAAATATTCTGTGTTTCAGAAACCATGGTTTCTATGTTTTTCTCTTGTCTGAAAAACTCACTTATGTGGATCCAATAGATCTTCATGTCCTGAGCCAGCCTGATCCATCTGGGTCTGAGCATGCTCCTCCCACTTGGTGTCTCAGCATTGCCATAGCTGCTGAACTCTCCATGGAAGAAGTCCTGATTCCAAGACATGGTACCGAGCCTTCTCATTGTATATCCCATTCATATTCTCTACACAAATCCAAAGAGTGGGTCTGTCATTAGATAACTAATAATCAAATTAATCTTCAGATAGAAAAGTGCTCTGTGATATATTCATTAATCTACAGAAAAAGATACTAGCAGCCAGATAGGAAAGTATTACAGAGAATAAGCTTAATACATGGACCTTTGGGGAGCAGGGTTTGAAGATCTAAACGAAAAGTATGATTAAGGAATGAGAAGTGGCTGGATGATCCCACCACCATACTGGGTTCACCTCCTCTTGCCTAAACTTTTCCCAGCCATGCACTCAATTCTATCATGTTCCCTAATTAACATGACATCCCAAGAGCATGGTATTTCTCTTAACACTTTACAGAAGAAAACTGAAGCATGTAAAGGTCAAGTGATTCACCAAAGGTCACTGAGGTAAATAAGAGTAAACATAATAAGTTGTGTGTAACTTACAGCACACTCTTACATGGTATTGGTGTTCTGGAGCTGTTTTAACCAAGTACTGCAGCACAGGGGCCTTGAGATATGCAAAGTCAGCTTTTCACAGCTCTGGGGGCTAGAAGTCTGTGATAAAGTAGAAACACTAGCTTCCTCCTGAGGGCTGTGGGGCCAAGATCTACTCCAGGACTTCACTGTAGCTGACAGGTGGCTATCTCCTCCATCTCTCCTCATATCATCTTTCTTCTCTGCCTGTCTTTCCCTATCTCTAAACTTATCCTTGGAAAATGACACCAGTCCTACTGAGTTAGGGGCCAACATTTCTGCACTCAATCCGGTCACCTCTGTAATTATCCCATCTCCAGGTGAAGCCCCACTCTTCACACACCAGAGATGGGGACTTCAACAGATGAATGAGGTGGTGAGTGAAATCTGTAATGGCCACTGTCTTCGCTGACCCCCAAGACCAGATGGTACAGCAAAAACAGGTAATTCATTGACTAAGAGCAAGAGCTTTTACCCATTTGCTCATGCCTAAAATAGGATTATTCTTTTAGGTTGACACAGTCACTGTCAGGAGAAAGGTGAATTAAACACACCACTGACAAGCAGTGTTTCCCTGCTCATATCCCTGATGCACACATTCCTGCTCCCAAGAAAGTGGAGGCGGCAGCCACTCACAGTCTCTTCAGCTTTTTGCTCACCTGGCATCCCCTTTATGTATGCAGGGAAGTCTCTGTAGGTGCTGCCAGCAGAGGCAGGCCCTGCACCCCTACAGCAAATGGGACTCACACAGTCTGAGTGCTCTCTAGTGCCCAGGACATCGTTGTGGCCCTTGCATTAACAGAAACTGCAGACCCGGTGCCAAGAGTGGCAGCAGGTGCTACCAGCACAGAGCCCCCATGCACAGGTGAGCCCTCGGCAGATGCTTGGAATCAGCCATACTCATCCAGCACAACATACACCACTTTTCTTCAGGGGAAAGGAAGATGATCTACCAATGTAAGAAAACAACCCCTTCTCATTACTAAGTATATTTTGAGACCTACCCAGGAGAAAGCTCTCTGGTCAGCAGCCTTGCCAAGCCAGGCCACACTGTGCTGGAGGTTCATGTTCTCACACAGAAATGCCCATGGCTCTCCTCCCACATTACCTGATTCCTCCCAGATAAACACAGGCCAGTTCTGCTTCACACAGGGCAAAGAAGACTTTGCAGCTGCACCGCTCTGTAACTTCAATACCATCACACTGGCTTCTTAAGGAACACAAAGGGCCCTTGTGAAAAAGATGCAAGTCACAGTCACAGTTCCCGCTACCTGAGCACACACTGGACAGGTTACTTCTGTTAGTTCAACTCCAACTCTGGGTATGATATTTGGCAGAGTGGGACTTGGGGGGCAGGGATACAAACATGTGGTACTTTAACTTGTCCAAGGTCAGAAAGCAATACTTAAGGTTAATTTCCTTAACCAAACGGTGGTAAGGCACTCTGGGTTACATACACCAGTGTGAACAATGGGAATCTTCCACAAGCAAGCAAATCAATCAAGTCTTGATGCACGGTGTAATGTTTAATGCCCTCTAGGGACACAATAACAAGTACTGCCAGATATCATACCCAGTACTCCCTGGCCCACTGCCCACAGGTGTGCTTTTCCTACAGAGTTTTGGTAAACTATGTCATTATCTTAGTTACATTTTGATTGCTTAGACACAATACCCATTACCCACAACTTAAGGGAGAAAAGGTTTATTTTGGCTCACAGTTTGTAGAGGTTTTAGTCCAGTCAGCTGGCTCCATGGCAGGTAACACAGGCAACAGGTCATGGTGAAGAAACACCTCATGGCATGGCAGGCAAGAAGCAAAAGGGGATGATGGGAGAAGGGGATGTTTATTGTTTTTTCTAGCCAATGTCCCCAGGGACCCACCTCTTCCCACCAGACTTTACCTCCCACCATCACCCCAAGCTATAAAAAAAAACTCATCAATGGATTGATCCAATACCACACACCCACGATCCAGTCACCTCCCAAAACTCCACCCATGAGCACATGAAGCTCTGGGGGGAACCCTAGACATAATCTGTAACAAGACACTTTACCTCTTCTCACAAACCAAGAGTCCCTCTCAAATCCCTAGGTGAACAGAGGTAGGAAAGCGTAGCTCACAACAAAGAGCACTGAAGGTTCTGCTGTCCCACCTCCAACCTAGCATATATATGGCCTCCATGCTAGCTGTTATAGGGTAGCCCTGTGCTCGTCAAAGTCTCACAACTTCATAAATTAGTTATTTTAAATTGTCTTCTACACAAAATTGTTCCTATTTTTATTCACAGCAGGCATTTTATAATAAGCACTTTTTCTGCCATCTTTATCTCCTCTGGAGTCAGCTTTTTGTAACTGTAACGAAATATTTGAGATAATAAACTTACAAAGACAAAAGGTTTATTTTATTTGGCTTACAGTCTAAGAGGTTTTAGTCCATGACCAACTTGTTTTATTGCTTTATAGCCCACCATGACAGGCAGCAGATGGTGGAACAAACTGTTTACCTTGTAGCTGAGATCCAAAAGAAACAACATCCTGCAGTTCCCTTTGAAAGCATGCTCCAATCACTTAAACCACCTAAAAGATCCCACTCTCTAAGCTTCCACCCACTTATCAATAGGACTATGAGCTGGAGACTAAACCTTAACACATGGCCTTTGGTTCCAGATTCAAATTACAGCAACTCCAAGTACAACCTCTATGTGGTCTACACAAGGAGATTTCAAAGCTGTCACCCAGCAAAACCACAAGCCTGTGCATCAGTTAACCTGGGGAAGAGGCAACAGACACACTCTTCTTCAGGTAAATCCTCCAGAGAAAAGTCTGACAAGCCTGGAACCTCTCCAGAGAAGGGAGACACCTCAATCTCTCTCCACCCAGCAGTGTCTGGTGTGCAGCTGGCTTCAGCCTCCTAGGGCCACTAATCCTGTGCTTCCTGTTCCTTGCCCAAATGGCTGGATGCACCTGTGCCTGGAACCAAGGCTGAGGGCCTGAGGAAGATCAGATCAGGGCTTGCTCATGTTGCTGTGCTCATCAGCCACAGGCATGAAGCACCCATGTCCTCTGGGGTTTGCCAAAGGGGATCAGTGCTGAAGCTTAGAACACATAGGATACACTGGGTAAATGTGACTTGCCCAATGAAGCATGTCAGGAGGGCTGGCTGCCAACACAAATGCAGCTCCCACCCTGTATCAATTGCAGTTCATTAGAGTAACAGACGTAATAAACTATATCTTTCCAATTTACAAAGCAGACTACAGTGGCCACCTTGTAAAGGGAAAAATCCAAAAGGGCTATGTGCTGGACAGCAGAAGTACCCAGTCGAAGTTAGAAGACCTGGAGCTCACTGCAGAATCCTGCTGGAATATGTATTGGGCAGCCAAAGGCTCTAGGCTGGATGGCTGGAGAATCTGCTGGAAGCCCCGAGAGGTGCATGGAAAGGTGATGGTGAGGATAAGTTCCTCCAAAGCAACAGAAATGAACTTTCCTTCTCTCCTTTTTTATTCCATTCAGGCTATAAGCCTGTCAGCTGGTGCCACTCAGACCAGGTGTGTCTTTCCTCTTCAGTAGTCCATCATTCAGCCACAGCCAGGCATAGGCTAAGCCAATCACATGGGTAGCTTCAACACCTAACTATGGCCCACTCACTCCAGACCTGTAACTCTATCTCCTGTCTTTGGAGGAAAAGCCTGTGCAGCAGGATGGCAGAAGCCCCCCAGATCCTCACACACCAGTCAGCATTGAGGCCCCTGCCTCCCAGAACATTCCCTGCTGAGAAGGAGCAAAGGTCCTCATCCAGTTCTACCTGTGAGCGTGTGCCAGACCAGATGAACATGATTTCCCATTTGTGGGCTGAAAAATCATAAATCATTCCAGGGGGAATTGAACAGTAAATTACACTTTATTTCATTTACAGAGAGATGTGGGCTAAAAAGGTGGCACTGGGCAAACAGCACTCAGGTGAGGAGCACCAAGGATGAGCCTGCTATAAATATGCTGGTGTGCTCAGAGCAGGTGAAAAGTATGTGGAGTTCCCAGCCTGCCTTTCAGGAAGAAGCAGTCTTGGAAAGGGCCGCTATCTCTGTTTCCTCAGGTGGAGACCAATTTCCCTGCACCCATAGACACCTGCACCCCAGTCTGCTCCCCACAGCTACAGCCCAGTGGAGGAAGGACAGTTCCCTTTAACATCTCAGCAGCAGGTGCAGGGAGGAGGGGGATCCTCCACAGGTCTAGTGCTGTGGCTGTCAATGGAGGTAGCAGACAGCTGTCCTCCCTCTCCTACAGAATGATTAGTTAAAACTCCCCACTTCCTGATTCTTGACAAAGGAAAAATCCATTCTATTAACTCGCTTGTCTACCCATTCACCGATCTACACAGTTCTGTGCAGCAAGTTCCATCCATATTCCTGGCCCTGGAGACTGTGGAAGGTGACTGGTGATTCCCGAGTGTGGTCACGGTGTGTGAAGCGCTGTTTCCATGAGGTTGTGGTGGAGCCAAGGTTATCAGGGGCCCTCTGAGACCCAGGGCTACAGCAGCTTGACATAATTCTGGGGAATCAGTCCCCTCTTGCCATTCAGAGTCCCTTCTAGCCAGCCAGGTTCCCTGGAGGTTTGTACTGGAAAGGAAGAAAAAGCACTTTTAACAACATGCCCTCCCTCACATCTGCTGCACTCCAGCAGGGAGAAGCCAGTAGAGCAAGGGGTGACAGGTGGGTATCCAGTTATGATGTCTGCACCAGGAACTGATGGCTTTGCCCCTGGGCTGGCCACTCAAATGCTGCTGTCTTCCTGCAACAGCCTCTCACTGTTCTCTATGGTTCCAGCCTGCCCCCTTCCAATCTAGTGGGCACAGAGTGAACTTTCTAGGACACAGAGCAGAGCACCTCATTCCCTGATTCCCACCACTCTAACAGGATGTCACATTCATGCAGCACTTCTGTCTGCTGCCCTGAATCACCAGGAAAATCCCAAATGGCACTCCATGACTTTGCATGTGTGGTGTCCTCTACCTGCAGTGCTCTTGTGGCATCTTCACCAGGATGTTTTATCTCCTGAGAGACCTTCAGGGACAGCTCCACCCCCAAAAGTCGGCCTGGACCCTCCTTGGCACTGACAACCCCTACAGGATGGTCCAGGCCCTGCTCTAACTCACACACTGGATGGGGAGTCTGAGGACAGGCCTGGCCTCACACATCAGGGCACAGAGCTTGGCCCACAGTAGGTGTCCATAAATAATCATGATGCACATGAGTGCAGCCTGGGCAGCAAGAGCATGGCCTGCAGCCCTCTTCACCAAGATTTGAAAATCAAATACATGGTACTTAGTAGCCCCAGCAGAGGCCGTCAGCCATGACCAGGAGCTGCAGTTCTATGCCTAAGGAAAAGAAAGAGAGTGCTCCCCACAGCTCAACTCAGGAACCAGCTCTAAGATACAACTTGTGTTGCCAACCCAGGAGAACTACAAACCAAGGGTGCACACATGTACGTAAGAACTTGAGTTCTGAAACAATACTCCTACTGTGGATAATGCCCTCTTTTTCCTTATTCTTTTCTGAATGTTGGCTGAAAAACTAAATCTATGACCCACTATTTCATAGCAACCTCCAGTTTGGAAGACACTGACTATCCAATTCTAGGAGCCCTTCTAAATGAAGTAATTCCAACTTTAATGTTAAACAGAATGAGGTAACCATTTTCTCTTCTCTCCCTTGGAACATGTAAGCACACTTGCTGACTGTATGCATCAGCTTGGCCTGCTATGATTTCTTCACATTCACCCAAACCTCCTGTTTTAAGCTCTCTCTCTGTTTTCTCCATCCACCCATGCCCGGATAGCACCAAGTCAGGCCTCAGACACTGGCTTACCATCAGCCCACATGACTTCAGTCATGAAAGTTACATGGAGCCTCTTTGCATGAGCTTAGCCTTTCTCCTGTGTGTATACATAGTTATAAAAACACAGGTGAAGCATGAATAAAAGATAGCTGAGCAGGAGAGGCAGAGAGGAGGAGAGGGAGAAAGGAAAATCAAGAGAGTGGGAGACCCCACCAGGCATCCTCCCGGTCCTCATCAACATGTTCATCCACATCCCTGTTCTTCACCTCCCAGTCCTTCCTCCCTTCCCAGGGGTCTGTTACTGACTGAGAGTGGAAACCCTGGGGGCCCCTATATCTCCCAAGAGACTGGAAATGGCACAGGGTGGGTACCAATGAGATGTGACAGGAAGCTCCAAACCCCAGACGCTCCATATCCCCAGCCCCTGCAAGGTGGCTCAGAGGTCCCGAAGGGCTTCTCCATCACTCTCAGACAGTACCAATCTGCAGACTCCAGCTCCTCTCTCTGTTTAGTTAGTCCAACTGTTCCTCTGCTGTGTTCAGCAGCAATACCCAGGCATTTGGTATTAATACCCAGGCATGATTACAGACGTTTCTATGAAGACCCAATCAATTAATCTAGACACTTAGTTGTTAGCAATAGTTAACTCTGGGCTTCATGCAATCAGGAGAAAGCCAAGAGAGAACAAAGAAGAGAAATTCTGCCAGCCCACAGCCTGCCTCCCTAGGTCACGAGCACACACCCTTCCCCTCTTATTCATTCCCATCCTACCTACCCCCACTTCTTTTTCTCTAGCTAATTCTGGTTGACAGTTTCCAAAGTAAATAGCACCTCATATCTCATGGGGGCTGAGGGGGCTTTTGACTCCAGAAGATGGGAACAGAACATAACAGAGTAGGCTTCGGAACCCTCAAGACCCTGGCTGGAATCCAGGCCCCTTAACTCTCCAGGATTTACCCACCTCTCTCAGTCTGTGTTGATTTCTAAGAGGGGGTAAATGTTAATTCATCACAACCTGCTGCACGGATTAAAATGAGACCTTTTCTTTCTGTGGAGCAGGCTCTTATGCATTACTAAGCATGATGGCAGGAACCAAGCACTTCTGAGGTAGGGCAGCAAATTGTTGATGTCAAGAGCAAAGCAAAAGTCACACTTAGTCATCATTTACTCAGCCTCAGAACACTGCATAGAGCTCTGTATGCCAAGGCCCTTCACCTAGAGCTCCCCTCCAGGTCACCTCCATGAGTTCCCCAGCATGTTTATCCTTTCTTACCTTCCTGTGCCTGGGTGCCATGCTCACGGAGTAAAAGGACAAGATATCTGCATCTCTGTGGCACCACTACTTAAATAACTTTCTGTCTCAGTTACTTTTCATTCATTGCTGGAATTAAGTACCAGACACCCAGAATTAAGGAAGGAAAAATTTACTTAGCTTACATTTTGTGGAGGTTTCAGTTCATGCTCAGCTGGTTCCAAGGCAGAGCACACATGACAGAGGGCAGCAGATCATGCCAGTGGAAAACAGCACAATAGCAAGAGCAAAAGGGAAGGAGCTGGGATAACAAACCTCTCTCCCTTCCTTATATTGCATCCAGGATACCTGTGGGTGTAGCACTCACACCCATAATCCCAGCATTGGATCATGAATTAATCTCAAACTCTAGAAGCCCACCCCAGTGACTACATGAGGCTTTGGGGGGAAAAGAAGACATAAAACGTAGCACTTTCCTACTGAAAAGGTGCATGACATGTGAGTAAGTCGCATCAAGATAGGGGTTTAATGAACACTGAAGCCAAAGAAAACAACCTTAAGTACCCTGCTCCTGATAAAACAAGGTAATTTAGCTCCCTATGGCTAAACATGACAAAAGTAGAACAGAGCACTGCTGAGGGATGCAGAGGTGGCAGGGGCTCCCAGATAGCTGCAGTGGTCTTGATGACCTACTACCTTAAAGATATCTTTGGTGGGATAAAGCTGAATTTGGGTGCTCTTATCTACAGAGCCAGAATCCTCCCTTTAGAAAGGACTCTACCTTCCCAGAACAGACCTACTGGCACTCACAGTGGACCTTAGAGCTCAGCTCCACCCAGTGGGCATGGCTGGCACAGGCCCAGTATACCTGCATACCACTGAATAGAGGAAGTGGGGCACTTACGTGGGACAGCAGAAGGCCAGGCACCTGCATGGCACAGCCGCACCTCCCCTCTCTCAAGAGAAAAAGAATACCTGTCATCAGTTATGTCTTACTAAAACTTCTGAGCCAGTATTATTTTGACAGCTATCAAAGTTTCCAGTTGCTGGATTCTCAGTGGCCTCAGGCTCCTATAATTGCCAAGACTTTCAGCTGGCCAGGGGTAAGGAGACCTCTTATCCTGCAGGCCCTACCGCATACCAACCACAAATGCCTTTATGGGGAATGGGAATGTGAGAATGAAACCCCAAACCTCTCCACAGCTCAGGTGTGAAAACTTCCAAAGCCCTCCTTCCTCAGGTAATGTACAATCTCAGGGCAGCCCAAAGCAGAGGCAGGATCACATGCATCCATGAGGGACCTTCTCCACTGGGACTGACTTCTCCATGATGAGGACTCTGCTATTCCATGTTTATGACCAGGAGAACATGACCTATTGCCATCACTCCCCAGGTCCTCCTCTGTGTGCCATTTTCTGCATTTGGTCTCCATCAGGGAGCCCGGCTCCCCTCAGGCCATGTGACCTTTGCCCAGTCCTGTGCTGAGAGGACAACATGCCTTGCAGCCAGGTGGTGCAGGGCAGGGACACTGATCAACCATGAAGAGCAGTGGATCTCTTGGACACATGCTCCAAGAAGCAACAGACTTGAGGAAGAGCATGGAAAATGACCAGACAGTTTTTTCCACTGTCCGAGGCTGGGCTGCTACCAAGCATACTCCCCTGTAGGGAGAAGGGCAGTAACAGCTCCACAGTTCACTTCAAGAGGCCTGGAGACATGCACAGCACACATACATACAGACCAGCATTCACATACCCTGTCCTGCCACCTGCAAGCTGCGACAGCCTGAGCGAGCTATGCATCCTCAAAATCTGATGAAAGCTATGACCAGTGCTCCCTGGCATCAAATGCATTTAACTGCACTGAAGCATGTATGTAAAACTCACCACTCTGATCATGTGAAAGTATACAATTCAACGGGTTAAGACAAGCTACAACAGTAGCCATTCTACTATGTGCTATTCATCGTAAATCAAAGCTATGTGTACATTAATCAATAATTTCCCAGTCTCCCTTCTCCAGCTCCTGGTAGCCTCTATCTTACATTACCTCTCTAACAATCTAGGTATTTCACATAAATGGCACCATGATACCCATCCCTTTGTGCCGGGTGTATCTCACACACTAGGCCTTCAAGCTTCATCCAGGGTACGGTGTGCACCAGGGTCCCCTTCCTTTCAGGGCTCAGTAATGTCTCTTTGTGTGTATAGGCTGTGTTCTCTGTCTCCATTTACATGCTGGTGGGTGCATAGTCTGTATCTGCCTTTGGCTGCTCAAAGTACAGTACTGCTGCTTTGTTCTGTTTGCTGCTTCATACCCTTTCAGAGCAATCAGAAGCTCAAGGGTGTTTTTCATTCTCTGATTCCTGCTATGGTAAAATAAGGGTTTATCACACAAGTCTACTCCTCAAGTAAACATTTTGCTACCTTCTGAGCCTCACTAGCACCACATTATGTATAGACATCTGGCACTTAACATTTTTTTCCCAGAGATTTCCCTGTGTTACAAATACACCTGCAAAGAAAACTACTGGGTTGTGAGGGCCACACAAGATCAACTTTCCAAGATGAGGCCAAATTGATTTTCAAGGATTATTCTGTCTATTTGAGACCTTTAAATTTTAATTACAAGAGACTTCGGATTAATCAGGGTCACACCTGCTCCCCAGGCAAACTGTGACATCATGTTTTCACAAATGAGCTAATGCCACAAGATCCTAACCATACTTCTGAGAGACCAAAAGCTCCTGCAGATCCACCCATGGGCCTGGGAGTGCTTCCAGGCAGCCCAAGGCACAACTTCCCATCTAATGGACAGCTAGCAGCAGAAGCCCCCAAAGCCTATTGCTAAAGTTCCCCAGACCCAGGAAAAAGCAGAGGGTTCCTGTGGCAGTTATCAGAACATCAGCCACCCTGAAACTTCACAACAGAACACTCTCTGGCAGGATTTAGAAGACATTTCCCTAGAACTGAAGAAACAAATCATCAGTCAGGAACTTAAACCCATTCCTGAAGTCCAGACCCACACAGCAAGGGCAAAGACCAAGGAACAGCTATAGAGCTATGTAATTACTAAGGACCATCTTGCCATCCACTGACTTAGAATTTCTCATTGTGATAGATATTCCAAACTCTGCAACTACTGCCAATATGACCCAAGGGTCACTCTGACCTAAATTTTGTGGTTTCCTTTGTTGCCCAAGGGAGCACGACAAGGATTTGCATAGCACGAGTTTGTTTGCATTTGGGAATATTCCAAATGGAGCAATGGCCACAAGAAAAAACGTCTCCAGTGCTCCAGGGATCTCTGGTCTGTGGAGGTGGACTGTTCCTGGAGACACTATTGATGGTTTAGCTATAAATGGTGGGCACTTGGAGCACTGCCTGGCTCCACAACATTGAGGTCCCATGACTTGCCTTTACGGCTTGCTCTGTGTCCAACTTTAGAAAAAAAGACCCCACAGCTAATAGAGGAAGGGCTTCACCACATATACTGTAGAAAAGCAAGAGCTTGTTTATAACTAGCTGAGCAATCAACCATGCACAGTAGATGAAGGTAACATAACACAGAAAGTAAGTAGCCTACTTAAGCACCTTCAGCTTATGGTGACCTGTAAGAACCATCCCAAGGAAATAGCACGTCACCAGGAACAGTCCCTTTCTACAAACTGTAATACACTGCTACTTGCCATCAACCACATTCTCTCTAAAAAAAAAAAAAAAATACAGTGAGATACTCCTATGTATGCATGTGCATGTATGTATGCATGCATGTGATCTGTACATCTACATATATGTGTATACACACTTTTCAGGAGGACTTGTGAAAGTTGTGGCAGAATTTTAGAAATGGAGAGCTTCAGTCTCATGGGATGCTGATCTGCCGGCCTTTCTTCTTTTCACTGTGCTGGCAGACCATGATGTGACAGAAGCACAGACCCTCATTCACAAAGCTGTATAGTATATGCACACCTAGCATGGCTCTCGCTGGTCTGTACGCAGAGCTCAGGGGGACAGCATCTGACCTGGTTCTGACCACTGAGCAGCTACAGCAGGGTAAGGAGGAGGAAAATTCTGGAAAAGTATTTTCAGTCTTCAAAAGCAAGAGCACAAAGATGAGATACCTCATTTTACTCTAGTTGAGTGTGGCCATGAGGCCATGAACTAGTAGCCACTTTGCCCCAACCAGGGAGGTGAATGTACAAGTAGAAGAGCCAGGGTCCCAAAGTAAGTGTAGAGAACAGTTCAGCAGAGAAGGAAATGCTTTGTTCTTTGACAATCTCTGTAAGAATGTGAATCAATCTAACAGAGCACTGAACTCCCATCCTGTGTGGGCTAATCCATCTTCATGAATAATGTCGCCATTTGTGTAAAATTTTGTTACCTGTCACCTAAGACATCATGATGCACCTTTTACTAAGGTAACTGTCTCACAAGAAAATACTAATGCAAGAAATTTCAGAGGATCATAGGGAGATATCATAAGAAATAAAAATTTCACACCATCTTTAGAATGGGTGAGTTTTAACACTACCTCGGCTTTCCCTTCTGATGTCTGCTATGACAACATGTGAAAAATGTGCAGTGGGGTAGCTTTGTAACCACACTCTCCTACCAAAATTGTACATGTGTACATTATACTTGTAAAGGACAGCTCCTGCTTCTACTCCAAGAAAAAAGTTTCTTCACAAACTTAATTTTGTCTTACTTCGGCTATTAGTGCTGTTTATTTTCTGATGCTATCAGGAGTCTCTGATGCTCACGAGCACATACCATGATCTATTCTAAATGAAGCAACTTGCTTTCTAACAAAACAATCATCAGCAAATGTTCCATTACTGACAACACACCACAATGTACTGTGTTGCTATATTCCATAGACTCCAAACATTCTGGCTCATCAGCCATTCCATTCCAAGCATCCAAGATTCCTGCTGCTTCCCTGGAACTGTTCTAGGGAGCTCCACCCACACACAACATCATTGTTTCCACAGCAACCAATGAACTGCATCATGAGTAGACTAGGAAGAGAAGAAGTCAAGAGCAAAGCGGCAAACATACATACTGAACCATAAGAGAAATCTGTAAAATATTAAGCCAGCCATAGCTTCTAAACACTTGTGTATGAATGTTAAACATTCAAATAAAGTCTTTCACTATTGTTTCAATATGCAAGGTGCAACACCCACTTCTGGAGATTCACATGCTTTTCAGGATGTAAAGCATAGGAATGGTAAAAGGGTAAGAAATCAAAACAGAATCAGTAAACCTGAAGCATTTAGGAGGCTCATTCAGGGATTCTGGGAGAACCAAGAAAACAAGGGAGGTAGATCGGAAGTATTTCTAAGGAGCAAGGAAGATAGCTCAATAGAATAACCTGGCAAGCACAAGGCCCTGAGTTTAATCCCTAGCACCACAAAAGAAGACGAAGACGAAGACAAAGATGAAGATGAAGACGAGATGAAGATGAGACGACGAAAAAGAAGAATTTCTGAACTCCAAGCAGTACTAGCTCATTTCCATTAATGAAGTGAATGAAGAAACATCAGCACACTAGCAGAAGGGATGTTCCAGTCCCCATCACAGAGCTCCCTGGTGCTCAAGTTCTGGAAGCTAAGGGACTTAAGCTCTCTCTTGTCCAGAGTGTTACAGGACCACAATGAAGCACCACTTATTCTAAGTGAGAGACACCCTAGGGTGACAGAATATCTCCCACTACCACTTACCATCCTCAAAAATCGCTCCTATTTCAAAAGATAATTCTGAGCTGTGTTCTGCTTCACATGGGTATACTGCTCGAGCCTTCCGATTAATAACACTGCAGAAGGAACACAAAAAGACAGCTGAAAATGTGAAGAAAGGGGACAGAGAAGTGCTGGTCACCCCCAGCCCTGCCTCCCATTCCCTACATCTCATCATAGGCTACCAGGAGGGCAACTCCTTCTAGAAAAGGAACAGAGACAAGAACATAAGGTAAAGTCATAGCACTTGATTTTCAAGTAAATGGTGGGTTTTAAAGGCAAACTTCTCCTTAGGGAGCCTATCTGGTAAGCTGTTACTGAACCACTTGTCTAATTCTCCTCCCAGCCTGGTGGAAAGAGCTTCTCTAGCACTCAGTAGTGTTGCAGTCATGGGGTGCATTCACCTCCTAAGTATTTTAGCTGCACATTAGGAAAAACATCCACATGTGTATAGGCCAGCAGTGGAGGAAGAGGCATATACATGACATGGTGAGCAGACTTCCAGAGCCACAGACCTCATTCTGTGTACCACGACCTCTGAAAGGGTCTTCAGCCCAGGACCTTGTGAGCAGGGCAAATATTCTACCCTGTATTACATCCCCAACCCTTTTTCATTTTTTCACAGTACCAGGGATTAAGTCCAGGGCTCTGCATATGGTAGACTAGCACTAAACTACTTAGCTACAAATTCTGCCCTTTTCTGTGTTTTGTTGCTCAGACAGGGTCTTGGTAATTTGTCCAGGCTGGCCTTGAACTTCCAATCCTCTTGCCTTAGCCTTTCAAGACTGAGCTTACAGCTTATGTTACCACAGTAGGCTCTTGTGTATATTTTGACCACTACAGAAAGGTACTTAGCTTCTCCCTACTTGTCAAAACCTCCAGTGTGACCTTGTGAGAGAAGGAGGGAAAACATACTTTAAGTCACATATGAACCACAGTGGAAGGAAGTGCTCTGCCTCATCAGAGTTGGGAAAGCCACTGCTGCTAAGAGTGATCTTAGCCAATCCCCAGACAGATGCACTTGCTAGAACCAGCCAATAAAAAGCCATGCAGGTTAACACTTCCAGGGACCATTCTGCCTTTCTTTTTTAAAAAAAAATATATATATATATACATTTTATTTATGTACAAGAAGTTCTTTCAAAATGACTAGTTTTAAAAATGCACAACTAGCACCAAAAAGACCGAGTACGTTCAAGTAGGTCTCATGGAAGTCAAATTCCGCTAAAAAATGCACAGTTGCCTCCATGTATCCATACAGAGTTCTATATCTACTACACACTAAAAACATTTCTTCAAAAACTGCATGTGGAGGGCCAACCAGACAGCTCATCAGATTAAAATGCCTGCTTAGGCAGACACAGGGGCCATGGGCTTGATTCCTAGCCTGCCATGCTGGCCCTGCTCCTGGGGCAGGCTGAGATGGGAATGAGACTGGGTGTGGTGGCGCACTTTAATCCCAGCGCTTGGGAGGCTAAAAAATAGGAAGGATCACTATGAGTCTGATCTGTGTAATGAGACTGTACTAAATACATTTTTAAAAAAATCAAAAACTGCATCTATATTAACGACATACTTTGTTGTCATTATTCTGTAAACAATAAAATGACCTAAGTTTGCAGACCAAAATTAGAGAAAAAGGAGGGCTGCAAGGAAAGCCAACATTTTGGCCCTAGCCTTCTAAGGTCAATTAAGACTCAG